ACGTACGTCACATGTTTTGTTAAATGCAATACGTCCATATTAACGGTAATTGTGGCATTAGGTTGTGTTGAATCATTTTATATTGAAAGCTGAGTAGGAATACCTTTCAGCTTAAAATTATGATTTGTGTAAAAAAGTTATTAATATTATTATTTTATTATTAACGGCCAATCAACACATAAAAGGTCATTAGGGCTAATAGAAATTGCACGGGGGACCTTGAAGTACAAGGATATAATTGTGTTACATCTATATTCAAAAAGAAATTAAGAGAAAGTTACTATATTTACGAAAGACCACAGAATCTAATGAGAGGGAATATTGAAAGCATATACAACATTTAGTTTTAAGCATAACTAGAAATTAAAACATTAAAAATCATCTATTGTCTATCTGTATCTGCGAGGGGTCCCATGACAAGTAGGACAAAGTGTAATTAACAACCTATTAGAATACTTGTCACGCACTAGGTATTTATGGTCAATTTTCTTCCTGTCGAAAGAACTGTTCATGTAAATTTGTAAATTGCCATTGATATGACAGGAGATACAGAAATGATTTGGGTTTACCTCTTTGTTGAACAGAAAAATTGTCCGGATATCTTTAAACTAGATACAGGTAAATGGCAAGGCCCTACCGTAAGAGGACGTAACGTTGATTGATGACCCCCTCATCCCCCGGTCCATTGTCTAGGCCATGTTATGTCGGACGAAGAATTTACTGTACAAACTGAATAGCAACTAACGCGTGACCACGGTCACATTGTTTGGTTAAAATATACCCGGTCACATTATACTGACAACGGGCGAACCAGTCGTCCCACTCCCAAACTACTGAGCGTAACCGCAGGTGAATTATTTTCTCGATCCCCGACCTACATGGGTTACTTTTGAGGTAAAATTACGAGAAATCGAATAAATTGTGTGAATAAATGGTAAAGGATATCATATCTTTTGAATATTAACTTTTCATAAATAATTCATAAATGTATCTCGTACAGGTATATTGTTTTAAAAAGATTATACGCATCGTTTATCGTCGATGGCTACGTTTCCACAGAATTTGCACATTGTTTCGAACTAAATGATTCACATTACTGCATTTTTAAATGGAAAAGATAAGTAGTCCTTTAGATTTACAAATAACGTTTTCATTTAGTAAGTGTCAAACATAATTGTAATGCTGATACATGTTGTTCTTGACAAACGCGTATGTTGTATGTATGACCGGATGTAGCACAAACAACGTGATTTGATTATACTTTGTAAACTAATTGTATATACATGTTACGTTTCTTCATAAAATTTATACACTTACCTCGGTGGTAAATCTCGTCTTGAACAATTCACGACACAAGTTGATCAGCTTGTCGGCAGTCTACTTGCTGAAATGCAACTTGTTCATGCTAATATAAATATTGAATTTAATTACACATGATATTAGCAAACAGTATATTGATATTCGAATCAGTTGTAATGTCAAATTGAAATTATCATGCTGACTAATGTCCCTTATGTTACATCAATGAAATTATTAGAAACATATTTTCGATTGTGGAATTCCGCCTTTGTCTAGTACATCTGTTACTTAACAAAATTGCACAATAATCTTTAGAAACATCTTTTTAATTAAAGAATCCAGCCTTTGTTGTATCAAAACCACCTCAGGAAGAGACAATCTTCAAAAATATTGTGATGCACCTTATTCTCGTCAAAGTATACTGTGTATTTTCATTCCTCGTGATAAAAGTAAATTTCATTGTATATCATCACGTTTTTGTATAAATCTAGCAAATAAGACATAACGAATCGTGACTTAGAAAGATAAACATCACACAACGTATTTCTTAAACTTGTGAGGGTGATTATCTTAAAAGATTATAGATATCAATAAATATATTAATTATATGTGCAAAATCTTGCTATTTTAGAATAATGTCAAAGCTAAAACAAACAAAATTAAAACAATTATAGCGAGGAGATGAGATCCTCTGTAGATTACGACAAATGTCATTTAGACTTACGCACTCAGGTCAAAATGGCGGCTTTTTACATTTCAAGGTTGAATGAAATTGTCGTTTTACACAAATAAATGCCCCAAATCTTGATTGTGATAAAAAGGATCTTATACTCGTTTTCATTTCATATGAAATTTATGAAACTCATCACGAATTTTTCAATTTAGCTCGCCAAAGACTCGCTAAATTGAAAAAAATCTTAGACTCGTTTCATATATCTCATATGAAATGGAAACCCATGTAAGGGGAACTTATGGTATTTCCCCATAATGTAATACACATCATCAAATCAGACAAGCTTCTACAAAATTTCCGGATAAGTGGTATAATTGCATTGCTTCATGCTTAAAGTTTCATCGGGCGTCAACTGCAGTATGCTCCAGTGAGGTAGCACTATGAAGTCGGCATCAGTTCCGCGCTATAACAAGGAGACAAACACGGACATATCAATCCACACACGCATACACTACACGCCTGCACACATGGGAGGCAGTCCTTGAATGACCATAGCTGTTGATAGGACGTTAAACAATACTAAAACAAACCAAACCAACATGTAAAACTGCTGAAAAGTAGTCCTAATCAATCAATATACCAATTTGTAGTGTATATGCGCTTTTTATTTAAATAGACTGCCGTGTATGGTTTCAGTCTGTCACCTTAGAATAAATAAGGAGTCAAAGTTCACATCACGATTAAAGTTTTTGAACCTAACTTTACTATTGACTCTCATGCGGTCTATCCATAAAAAAAACAAAAAGGTGACGTACTAACTTTTTAAAAATCAATAATCATATAATTCAAACCAAAAGGTGATCACCTCTTGAAAGTGATGGTATTGAACTAATATACAAAACACAATTTGTTGGGCTGTCTATATTGGGCCTCCTGATTCTAATGTTAAATGTTCGGGTGAAACTTGCCTGTATTTTTAGAAAGAAAAAAAAATGACACTGTCCTTGATGTTTTATTAGAAGGGGACATAAATTTAAAAAAAATCTCCGCATCTCTCAGGATTACTTACAAATGCATATATGCAGTATATATACGTATAACACTTAAATAAGGTAGTTGTTCTGTATTGATTTGTTTTTTGATTTTAATTTTGATTTGGATATCCAAGTGGATGAACCATTTTGAGATGAACCATTTTGAGATGAACACTTTTATATGTTTATATGTTACAGGGTAGTTTTATTTGATATTTTTAAATAAGCAAACAATTCTTAATAAATCAGACTTTTTAAATATTACATTATTAGTAGCAATTTATTTTTGTATCATGCACGTGCATGACCTCCTAAATTTGAACTAAAAACTGTTTTTATCAAGCCATGATATCTCCAAACTGTGTATAGCCGAATTTATTCATTTGTATCTCATTAACTATTTATATATCATCTATCATTTCAACGTGTTGCCGAGCGTAGAAAAAGGAGGTGGCGATAGGCTTAGAGGTAAGAAGGAGGCTGTTTATTTCAGAGGCTGTTTGAAGTTGGAGCGGGCAAATATTTTGTTTAAGATTTGGACACTGTTTTTAGCAAACAGCAAAACGATACTTGGGGACTTTACACTTTTTAAATATAGAGCTGAGCGAAGAAAGATACAGCGATCACAACAATAGTATGTACGGGTAAACAAATGTTTCTTCCCCAGTTTTCAATACGTATTCCGATTCTAAAAGAAGTAGAAAATTAATTGTTTATAGTGAAAAGGTTGTTACATGATCATACATTCTAAGTCAACAACATATGAAAACATGAACTGTTGAAAAATTACGATTTAAAAAAAAATGTTACGCGATCCTTTTTACTAGAAGTAGGTTCTCCTTCCTCAGTTATTCATCCTGGCCCGTCATTTTGACATTTTTAATCTAGTTGCGATCATGTAGCTTTCTGACGACGAGAGATTTTTTTTATATATTGCGTCGTCGCGCCAGAGGAAGCCGGTTATCTAATTTGTACTAATTTAAATCTTGTATGTAAAAACAAACAAAAATTCGTTTAATTCAGCAATATAATTAAATCATACCATTTTACTGAACCCGGTAATATTATAAATTATGTAAATCTAAAAGTGCACGTATCTCATTTGACCCGGATCACGAGTACCGACAAAGACAGAATACGTCGTGGCTATCACAACAGTTAACCCTTGGGGGGCCTCATGACAAAATCAAACTAACCAGTCAATTATCCCTTCCTTTCGCATAAACCACTGTATAATTATAGAAACACAAAGTAAACTCTCTCCGAGTCATGCCCATTGACATATTAAACTACGTTCATCTGTGTTCAAACTCAGACAAAGATACTAGCGAGGTTAATAGGTTTAGATATTTATTCATAACATAAACAGCGCTAGCATTTCTGTCGATTCCATTTCAGCTTAACCGGCTTAACCGGAAGAATACATGCACTGTACTAACTGCTAGGGCAGTTATTTTCTCCTTTGAATACTTCCCACCTGTAATAATGATTCCGTAACGTACTCCTTGCGCTATCCTTTGACCATTTGGCAACTTTTCGCTTCGTAGGTGACACGGTACAACACATTTCTTTTGCTTACTTCACATGGGCAGTCATTTTGTTTACGAAGAAATGGTGTGCAATGCGCATGCACTAGTAGAGGGAAATCCCTGAACAAAACGTTGGTCAGACACGTAGAAATACCGATGATTATCTTAGATTTAGTCATTTTTATGAATCTATTTCAGCCAAATCCGATCGTTATTTTCCATAAGGAGTCTCACTTGATATGTTTATGTAGTATTTGAAAAATAGACAAAAAAGATAGTTACTTCAGCGTGATGCCCATTTAAGTGATAATATTCCAATGTATAGTAACATGTAAGGTAAAATGTAGACAATTATTTTATTATCAATGCTTAACGGCCCATCGACACAGGATATGATAGGTCATTAGGAGAGAAATGAAATTTCATAAATATACAACAACAATTTCTCAAGTATACCAAGCCAATTTTATATTGCTTTACTGAAAACAAAACGATAATTTTATGAAGATTAAAATTGCAATATTACTACCAAGTCGATAATGATAATAATATAAGTCAACCTCGTTCCTGCCTATTCTATTTCTCTCGAAGTCTCGCATCTTTGGCGATCGACTAATATTCAACATATTTGAATAAGTCAAATTTCACTTCTTTATCCGTGCCAAGTAACTGAATATACAAATAAGATCTGAGAAAGCATAGCCATCCTGGATCTATGACTAGTAAAACATGTGTAAGACTTCAACAACGATAACCTACAAATAGGGTGATATTTTCGTTTGAAAATTTATTTCAGTAAGATTACTTTGAAAATTGTATGTTTGAACTTTAAGACCGTTTAAACAGTTACACACATACAGAAAGCAGCGTGCTGTTGTTCATCCGTCCAGGTGTTCGCCAGTCGTAGTCCAGCTTTCTTCACAATATTACGTAGCTGTTCCAGTGTATATTTACAGCTAAATCCAGCACCTTCGTGAAAATAAAGCCTTTCGCCTTTTTCCATCAACAGGTCAATACCAAGCCCACCTATAAGAAAAAAAACGGATGGTCATGTGAAAAAGACTTTTTTAAAATCAGTACTCCTTATTACTCTTATTGTTTAGTTTATTATAAATCTACGTTTTATTGACAGATTTTATACGCGATCTTAATTATTGTCACGTCAGTCATTTGTATTTGTATTGGTGCTTACGTATTGGATACCGGATGTCTTCCTTAGCCTGGATGTAGGCCCTCAGATAGCTCATGTATTGAGGATTGTTGTCAGATATAAAATCGACCTCATACGTGAATCTGTTCAGGTCGATCCGACTTCCTTCTTCTTTGTTCAAACGTTCAAGTCCATATTGAATAAAGTTGCGCATCAACCCTGTTTAACAAAACACAATCTTAATGATATATCTTATAAAACAATACTAATTAGCGTGAACAAAAGGGCAATTTTGACTTCAAGAATGGTTGTTGTCTAATGAAAACCTTATACCTCTACATGCGCATACCTTTACTGTCTAGAACATGTGAAAACAGAGGAACCTTACCCCGTTGGTCGGAATTTCTCTACACAGCGCATTATTTTTCTCCCAAACCTAATTTAATCAAATTTCCGTCAAATAGTGCTTAACATTTGCAAAGTTTAAACAACGACGTTAAGTATTCCACATTGTCAGAATATTTCGACTTCTACTCTTGTTGATACTATCATGATACGTGTGACATAGACAGAGACGTGGGAGAAGGAGTTTTCCCTAATGAGATTTAACTCTTTCCGTACCGCAACTCCGGTCCGGATTCCGTACCGGATGTACTTATTAGACTCGCCCCCGCGCATATAACAAAATGGCGGATTATTAACGTAATTTTTATACTGGGTGTAACTGCCGCAAGAATTGAACAGGTAACTGTGAACAAATATTGTTATTGTTTCATGTTCTGGTTCATAAACAAACACTTCTTCATTTTCGCAGCATAATGACTAACTGGCAGCTGATTATGACTGATAAATCGACATTTGTCTGGCAATAAACGATACGATTCCTTGCATTTAACACAGCGTTGTAGTGCAGGTTTCCAATGAGGATTGATTATGGTTACGAATGTGGAGTCGTTGAGTTTTTTTTCTAAATACAAGTAGATTCCATCAAGACTCATATTAGAATATTCAAATTTACTTCCATAAGTCTCAACAAATATCTGATGATGAATTTACGAGGGTTCGTATCGAATTAAGTTGCCGCCATCTTGTTTACATTTGAGGCACCAAACGCAAACATCTTGCGGCAAATGCGAAAACATTAAGTCACATAATAAAAAAGTGTACTCTGCACGAATAATATTATTTCTTCCAAACTGATGGGTTCTGATTTTAGCGACAATTAATTGTTTTTTCGCGACAGTCTCGTGCGTAACCAACTAATCAGCAGGCAGGTTACATCAAAGTCACGACAACGGGGATGAGACGGCCCTTTATTTTGTCGTCTGTACACGACAACGGGGACCAGGATGACATATTGTTGTCGTGTGTACACGACAACGGTACGGAAAGAGTTAAGACTGTGTCAGTTTTTCAGTATCATACATTTGTATTCTAGTGCTTGCTTGGCAATACCTCACCTAGTTTTGAGCGTTCGAAAAGGTGGGGTAGGCAACAAATTCTGTCCCCTGGCTGGAACATACCAAAGTCCTTGAAAATGGTAGTTGCTATTCCTTGCTTTAAGTTTAGCTTTTAGGGTTACTTCAACAACTGTTTGTTGTCAGTATAAAGTGACCGGGTGGAATGCTGTGCTGGGTGCCCTATGCAGGTTATTTAAGTAAGAAAGCACTCTAAAAGTCGGCATCAGATCCACGATATCGTAAAGAGACAACTACATTAACATATCCGGTATCTAGCAAATATATACGCACACATAAAACACATGATCTTAGCTGTTACTGTAATAGGATGTTTAACAAAAATAAACCAAACCAAATTTTGACGCTGTGGAACTTTTTGATGTACTGTAAAGTCTTCACTGGATTAAAACAGTTGACAGATTGTGTATTGGATTATCACTGATATTTGTTTCTGTGTTATGCAGTATATTTCGAGAGTACAGTATTGTTTACAACTCTACCTGGACCAGGTCTACAGTATAAACCTTATAGTAGGCAATATTGTTATCATTAAGCTGGCTGAAGGACGTTTCTATAATTTATAATCTGATAAGTGTCCAGAGTGGTTGATTGTCAAGAGTGTTGCAATTATTGGCCAACCAAATCACTTACCAATTTATTAGCATTGGCTGTCAATTAAAACTTCTTGTCGTTAAAGTTGATTCAGGTGAAGAAGAAAAAAACTAGAATGATGTTTGTTTTAAGTAGACGTCACAATCACTTGCTCTACACATTCAAGTTAACTTCATATGAGTGAATAATTAAATAAACATTATTGAAAATCGTATAGTATGCTTGGAAATTATTGTCGTTATATAAAGCCCACCCGTGATATATTTAGTTGTCTTTAACATTGTTAGCTGAAATAGAAAATAATTAATTTGGGAAACATATCTCCAAATAGGTATTTTATTGTTAGAAACGTATTTGTGTTAATTCCATCATCTTTCTATGTCAATGAGTGATGAGTTTGTTTGTTTGTTTGTTTGATTTTGTTTAACGTCCTATTAACAGCTAAGGTCATTTAAGGACGGTCTCCCCTGTGTGCAAGATGCATGCGTGTAGTGTATGTGTGTGTATTTTGGGAGGTTGCGATATGTTCGTGTTTGTCTCCTTGTGATAGCGCGGAACTGATGCCGACTTTATAGTGCTACCTCACTGAGACATACTGCCGAAGACACCCAGCAGGACGCCCCACCCGGTCACATTATACTGACAACGGGCGAACCAGTCGTCCCACTCCTAATTTGCTGAGCGTTAAGCAGGAGTAGAAACTACCATTTTTAAAGACTTTGGTATGTCTCGGCCAGGGGACAGAACCCAAAGCCTTCCTCACAGGGGCGAACGCTCAACAAATGGCCAAAAGTGAGGCATTGTCAAGGGAGACATTAGGAAGAAGAAAGTTATTTAGAAAGGAGAGAAGAGATAAGGTCCCAAATTTAGTCGCCTCTTACGATCATGCAATTGGGGGCAGCAG